CAATTGTTCTAGTGCAAGGAGGAGCTGCTAAGAGTTGAGAGATGCATGCTAATCAGACTGGGGAGTCTAAGAAGAGAGGAGTGCTGAATTTCCATGAGCGGGAAGGTCACAAAGTGGGTGGCGGGTGCAATGGTGATTGATGGGGCAAAAAACATGGAGATTCCGGGAAAAAAAAGTGCAAGAGGGTGTGGGAGTAGAAGCAGCACCAGGATGCCGGGGGAACAAAATGACACTCTGATCCAAGAAGCAGAGAGGAGGCGGGTCTTGGCCATCAGACCCGCCGAGAGCTCTTAAGACGCTCCAGGTCAGAGAAGGACAGGGGAAGCTCCTCAGGATACTGAGGGTGCAGCGGAATTTCCACTATTATATTTTCTTTTCTGTTTTTTTGCATTAGTCAGACTATTTTTGTTGTTGTTCTTTATTTCTATTCTTGTCGGACTCTTACATTAAGATTGGGCGATGAGAGGTCTATTTTAACCGCGTTAGGCTTATTTAGACCCACTACAGGATCAACGAATCATCTTCCTTTTTGCAGGGTCATTGACTCAAAGTCTGGTTCGAGAGTCGGTGGTTGGAAGTGGTAGGTCCTTTTATCAATATAACCCGTCTTTATACACACAAAAAAAGAAAAAGAAATCCAATTGTCCCAATCCAATTTCATACGAAATATAGGTAACAAGCATCATATCTATAACTTTAAGATCGAAAAAATTATTGTACGGAGTATGTTACTGGGGCGCAGCTCACCTGATAGGAAGAGAATGTTAAAAGGAGTGAGTTTTGGGTTCAACTCTAAACAATGATTTAGGAAGGAATCTTGCTATTTTTTTCGTTATTGTGTGATTAATGCTCAATTTACTTTCTCTAAGATAATTGTCCGATCGATACGCTTCTGGGGCCTCAAGGATAGAGTGTCATCATTTTTTGTATATTATAAATTATAAATTTAAAAGTATATTGATCATCTACTATCAATTAATTAATAATCTAAAATGACTCGACAAATTCAATAATAATTTTTTGGTTTGTATGGTGCACTACTTGTGTGGTCGCATCAATCAAGAGATACTCTCTAAGAGATAAGAAATTAATGTAATAGTTTATTTTTTTCAATAAGAATTCTTATAAAGTATATATTTTGTTGTTTTTGAGGTGAACATGTTTTAGCGGTAGAATATAATGCTCTATCATATTTTTTTACTTTTAGTTATTGAAAGGCTCTTTAATTTTATTTGTCAATTCACAATTTATACTGTAGGATCGGACGTATGGTGTGTCGATCTCACTACTCCTTTATTTTACTTCCCTGCTACCTACATACTGAGTATTTCCTTTTCTATTTGCTTATTTTTCTTTATTTTCTTTTTTGATAATTCTTTTTTCATCTCCATCAAATACTAAAAATGTAATTACAGTTTTACTTTTCTTTATCTTCAACTTAAATTACAACTCAATCTATATTTTTATTCTTTATCAATTTATAACAAAAAAATATTAATCTAAATAAAATTAGTATATTACATTTCATTCATACATTATTTTTATTTCAGTACTATTTTTTTAACTATACATTTTTTTTGTATTTTTTTTTTGTATTATACACTTTTCTTGTAATATGAATCTAAAAGAATAACTATATTACATTTCATATTCATACTTTTTGTAATATTTTGTTTATATTCATACAATTTTTCCTATAATATATTTCTAACATCTTTTATATGTATTTAGTATTTTTAAGACATTATTTTTTTTTTTCGATTTACATTTGATAAAATATGATATTACATCTTCATATGTGTGGTTTACTTTTCCACATCTGTGGGTTATGTTTATAGATAATTTTCTGGAGTTATATTTTATATTATACGAAAATATTAAAACATGTGTTGCGAATGAGTCATTTTAGATTATTACTTAATTGATAGTTGCTGAATGTACTTTTAAATTTTATATACATTAATGTTTTATCATATTTTAAAGGTGCGTACACATGCTTATTACCTATATTTCACATGAAATTGGTCGATTGGGGGAATCAAAATTCAATTTCACCAAAAGTTGAAAATTCATTCATAACTTCATAACTATCTTGAAATGTGATATTGTGATGTATAGCAATAAGTTTTATACATCCCGAATAGAAATAATGGTACATCATTTGGGTGTGAATAGTTAAAACTTAGAAGTGATAGTCAATTTAATGCTAATATATTAATTAATTGAAAAAAGAAACTGTAGGGAATATTATCCCGGCCTATTACTATTCAGAGGCCTAAGGCATCACCCTAGTATGGAATCAAGTCGACAAGGCCCATTTAGGCTTACCCGGCCCATTAAGGCCCATTAAGGCCCAACCGGCCCATTGGCCCATTAGAATAATCCTTACACCCTCCCCCTCTATAAATAGGGAGCTTGGCTTCCTATTAAAGGATTGTCTTTTTTGGGCTCTCCTCTGCAGGGAGTTCTTCTCCCTGCTTCCTCCCCCAACTTCATTTCTTTAGATTTATTATTCAAGCTCCGTTAATGGAGGCTCCAAGTTATGTACCATGTAAATGGTGAGAAGAGATTAATGAGAAAGAGAGGGTTTGGACATTAGGCTAAAAAGTCTCGTGATTTTCTCCCTTTTCGGGTTTCCACGTAAAAACAGAGTATTCGTATATATTTATATCTATATTTACTATTTTATGTTGGATTAAACTCAACAGAAACCAATTAAGTGTTCATTAAAGAAATAATTACATAAATATGACCAAAATAAAGATGATTTACAAAAATATGACTAATGACTAGAGTAGTAATGAAATCATAGTAATTCATGTTCAAATTTTGAGCTTAAGTTACCACAACACCACATTGTAGTAATGAATAGTCATATTTATGTAAATATGTTTTATTTTAGTAATATTCTTGTAAAAAACTCTTCATTAAAAATAAGTTATTGCAACATTCATTTTTGTGATTTTTTAAATTAAACTTACTAAATAATACTATGTATCTAAAAGCAGAAGTAACATGATGTAGTCTTCCAAAAAAAAGTAATATGATGGAGCATTCTCCCGCTAAGGAAAACAATGACATGTCTCCTTTTTTGGAAAATGATTTCTTAAACGCGGATTTTTTGTTTCCCAGAGAGAAGTCAAGACCCCCCCCCCCCCCCCCCCCCACTCTCTCTTCATGCGCTCTTCCAGCCACGGGCAAGAAGAGGAGTAACCCTAGCAGGCAGGTTACCACATCTCTCCAGTTTTCTAGCAAAATTTTTAGGTAAACATGTTTTTTCTTATTTTCCTATTTTCAGTTTTCCAATTCTCTGAAAAACTGGAAGATATCTCTGTTAATAAACGACCCCTGAATCGCTTAGATAACTATTCTATTTCCACCAAAATTCTTGATAAAATTGAAATATAACCAAACTTGCGCTCCTATTATGAAAACTAGAAAACAATAAATGAATAAACACATGAAAAGATATCATGATGATCAATGGCAGAGGCAGAAAAATGACTGGAGATCGAAATTTAACTAACTACAGAATAAAAAGAGGATCTTTTTAAACAATACTATGATACTTAAAAACTTCAAACATCTGTCAGTTTTAGAGCATCTCCAATGCAAAAACATGAACGGTGCATACGTGGCATTGGAGATGACCAATTAAAAATAACAAATAGAATATCTCTCTTCTTATTTGAATGGTTTTATATGTTTTTGGTAAGTTTTTTCTTTACAATGTCAAGCACAATGTCTAGATGTAGACATTGTGGTTGACATTGTTGAGAAAAACTTACCAAAAACACATAAGAACGTGGACAGAAGGAGAGAGAAATGACACAAATTTTGTGTCTATCTCTCTCATGCCACATGTGCACCGTGCACATTGTAGCATTGAAGATGCTCTTAGCAGTTTTAGCTTCCGCCGGAGTACCCCAAACATTAAGATTACTTATTAATATTGATACTAATGAGCCCCTGTTGTTTAGCATTCTGATGATGGAAAAATATTATGTATAAAATTTGTTTGTAATTTCAAACATACCAATTATACGGTTATACTAACCATCAATAATACTTCATTGAATCATTCATTAATTCTATAGAAACAACATTGAACATTTTCCTCTCGCGCATTGCGCGTGTGAAAACTAGTAATTGTTATCCTAAGTTACGTTAAAAGGTAAGTAAGAAACAGTTAAAGAAAGACTGTATTTACGTTAAAAGTGCTATATTTACACTGAAAACGCTAAATCACAGAGATAAGGCTAAGTATTTGTGACGATCATATCTTCCTATGTGTTCTTCCGTTTAGAGCGTATTATATCTCATTGGAAAGATAATTTGGAGTTCTAAAGCTATTTTCCCCCCTACTTAATCCATTACTCGTCCTCGAGTAAAAATCAACATAGTCATTCACAATCCATTGAACGGATAAATGTAAATGAATAAAATGTTCACTTTGTCCATCCATCCTCAAAATACAAAGAAAAGAGGGTCTTCATGATTTTCAAGAACAAATGTTCTTTTCATTGATTGTATCCCAAAAACTCCCAAGTGAAATGAGTTGCTATATAAACTCAAATAAAATTTCCTCTCATTCTCTCATTCTGCTTAGGAGCCTTTTCAATTTTGCATCGTAGACTCGCTTTTTATTTTCCTTTTTCTCACAACTCACTCGTTTTAGCCACTTTTACTTAGATTACCCATTTTTTGGATTTTCTACCTAACTAGCATTTTTTCTATTATTTATTTATTCCTTTTTTTTGTATTTTGTTTTTGAAGAAAATAATGCAACTTACATATGATAACATGTTCAATATACAAATAAAAGAATTTAAATATTAAAAAGTAAAGAATAGTCATTACATATTTTCTCCTCAAGGAGAGTTGAAATTATCACCCTTAACATCATAAAGGAATACATAATCATAACCTAAATTTGCATTGTTGGCCCAAAATAGAACGCTCGTAGACTTTTAGGAAAGCTATGTACGACACTCAAGCAGGAAATCGGGAAAATAATGCAAATAAGGAAAGAAGCTAACAATGTTTAGTTGCCAGAAATAGCATATCTCATTTGAAATTCGGACATGACTTTTATAGGCGATTTACAAATAGTAACTGATAAAGATAGTAATGGCTAATTAATTACATCATTAACATGGAATTAAATACATAATTAAGTCGCGCATTAATTGCCCTGGCCGTTAATGTTCCTGGCTGGCAGGCCGGACGCTTGAGCTCCCTTCTGCTAGACTGAACGACAAGCTCCCTGCTGGGCTGGAGGTAGACTCCTGGCTAGGCTGGAAGGCTCCCCGTTGGGCTAGAGGCAGGCTCTTGGCTGAGCTGGAGGCAGGCTCTTGGCTGGGCTGGAGGCAGGCTGCCGACCGAGTTGGAAGGCATGCCTCTGGCTGGGCTGGAAGGCAGGCTCCCCACTGGACTGGAGGCAGGCTGTCTTGGGCTTCCACTCCTTGATGGGTCTGATCAGTTGGGCCGGCCCGAGCTCTGGATCGCTGAGCTTTAACCTGCTGGTCCAAGTTCGGGGCCTGGGCCAATTAGACTATGAGCCTAGTCCCATAACCTCATATGCAGTCTGGAAATTAACTACAATATTCTGTATATCTTAAAAGTCTTGTTGCTAGAAAAAAGAACTCCAAATCATTATTCTATGGCAGCATGATTACGTGTATCACAACCTTCTTGGCACTTTCCTGCAAGAGCCATAAAAACAAACATAACAAAACGTAAATAAAAGGTACCACGTAAATAAAAGGTACCACAAAAAAGAATGTAAAAAAAAGTAGTCAAATCAAATTTCATTGTGTGTATGAAGTACATAATAGTACAACTACAAGTCTACAATTGATCCATAAAGGTGGAATCTCCCACCCCGGGAGCCCCACCCCGATCCGACAGGATGGTGAGGAGGTTAGTCACGGTGACTCAGTCAGCAGAATGGCAGTAGGTCCATACACTCGTGCGCACCAGAGATCCAGCCTTATTTCAGGTTCTGTGACATCCACCCGGTCACTGCGCGGATTCGAACCTTGGTCCATTGATCCAAATCTCCCACCACTCGACCAACTGAGCTACCTGTACGGGTAACTACAAGTCTACAATTAACTGATCAAGAGTAGTACAACTACAACTGGTCCCTCTGTCACACATAGTTCCCATGTTCACCTATGACTATAAAATACTCCCTTCGTCCTAATTTGATTTGAAAAATTTCCTTTTTTGGTTGTCCCAAAATGATTTTCCACTTTCTATTTTAAGTATGTAAATAAGAATACAGTGACAAATTTACCCTTACTTTTACTTTTCTCCATTAATTTAAAGGCGTCTACTTTTAGAAAGATGGATAAAAGTGTAAAAAAGCGCCTGATTTTTTGAAACCAGCGCCTCAGAAAAGCTGAGAGCTTCTCTCCTGGGGTTTGTTTTCGCCCAGCTCTTTTCCGGATGAGTAACTTGTGCAGTGCTTGATTTTTGAGGTTTGATGTGTTTGAATCGTGTGTTTTTGGTCAGAGGTCCCTTATAATTCCATTTCACCTTGATTTTGGTATTACAAGCTGATTTATGGCCAGAAAACCCAGGATTTTAGGTTTACGAGCCCGTCGATTTTACTGTTCATGAGTTTTGGTTTGCTTCGATTCAACACGTTTATGACTCGTTGATGATTATTCTGAGCTAGATTCTTCTCCTACTGCTTGTTCCGAACTTGGATTCAAACCTTAGACGGAAATAATTTAGTCAAAAATCAACGAAGTTGTTGCAGGTTCTGTTCTTGCGCGGTTCCTCAGACCCGTAATTTGTTTTGTGGGTTCTAACTGTTGACTCCAGGTTGTATAGCTTAGCTTTGCTCTGCGATTCCCAGTTCAGGGGTTACGAACGAACTGCTGCTATGAGTACCAAGAAGAAGCAGGGGCCGGTTACAAGGTCCAGTTTTGATGTGTTGCAGGATTCAGATTGTGAATTTCCAGCTCTGATGCACGGCATTAATGCGAAGAAGAACAGAGGTTCTGTTGTGGTTAAGCCACCTGCTGGTATTGATATACATGTGCCTTTGACCCCTGCTGCAACTGCTTTGGCCGAAACAAAGGGAAATGCTGCAGTTAAGGGGACTGCTGCAGTTAAGGGGACTGCTGCAGTAGTTAATGAAGGGGGAGAATTAATTGAAAAACCAAGGGGAAAGGCAACTGAACCATGGAATGCTCTCTTTAAAGACAACCGTGACCCTAGGCATGGAATTAAATTGAAGTATGTACCTCCTAAAGGCGAAACATTGGACCTTGGAGACCGTATTTTACCCTCCATGGTTGAAATGTGGGGTTATTGCCTAGTTGGCCACTTCACCGGAAAATTCCCGGACTCAAAGCGGTGCATGATCTCAAAGCTACATGGGGTGTTAAAAGCCTTGTGAGGTCCCACAAAAAGGGTTGGATGATTTTTAAGTTTCAAAATGAGGAGGATAGATCGAAGGTACTACATGGGGGACCGTACACCGTATTTGGGAAACTCCTAATGCTTAAGGAACTCTCGGAAAATTTTTCTTTTGAGGATGAAGAATTCCTAAAAGTACCCATTTGGGTTAAGTTCCATGATTTACCTATGCAATTATGGAATGATGAAGCCATGAGTGAGGTGGCATCCATGGTTGGTGTTCCGATAACTACGGATAAAATCACTCAAGAGCGGATCAACAACGATTATGCTCGAGTGTTGATAGAGGTAGACATTTCAAAGCCACCACCACTCTCGTTTCCTATACGACTACCTTCCAAAAAGGTAATTAAGCAAAGTGTGGTATATGAAACTTTTCCTAGTTATTGTTTTTATTGCAAAGAATTTGGCCATCATCCATTTATTTGTGAGAAGTTATCTAAATGTGGGGTTGGGGAAAACAAGGAGAATGAAAAATCTGTTGTGGTTGTTGGTGATTTTGAGGTAGCTAAACCTGCTGCTGCTCGGCCAGATTCTGTTCAGGGGGAACACCCGACCGGGCTACCTCTTAACTCGACCGGGTCACAGAGGAAAAACACGGCCCTGGGCCTAAACCCGAGCGGGTCTTCTCACAACTCGACCGGGTCCCTGCGGCAGAATGTTTCGCAGCCTCCTGCAGCTTATGTTGGGGGCAAGCCGTCTGTCCAGGAATCTTCCGAGGGTGTGAAAAAGGCTATTCCGTCTAAGAAACAAATGAATGAGGATCATGAGGCTAATTTGGAAGAAATTGAGAGGGTAGTGACAAATGAATTGGAATTGCATCAACATGATGTGGTCACCAAATGTGAGATACTAAATGGTAAGGCACTCAAGTTAGTAGTCAAACCGTTTAGATTTGTGCATGCTAGTGTGATAAGAGTTGATACCTCTCTTCGACTTACGGATGATTTGGACAAAAAGGGTGTAACGTTCACCGCTAAATGTCTCGAAGCCATACCGGGAGTTACTAAGAAGAAAGGGGAAGTTGTCTTTGACTCAAAGTTCACTATCCCTTTCCGGGGTTTCTTTGGATGTTAAATTAGGGATACCTAATTCTTGTTGATTTGTAAGACTGTGCTTGTTGTTCTTTTTTGGGCCCATATGGTGGACGTGTGAGATCATGTGTTTTTTATTTTGTGGTATTCCGTATATTGGGATATGCACTTTGATTGTACGTATGATGCATTGTACTATGCTATTTTTCTGGATATAATACATTTACATTTTATCCAAAAAATGGATAAAAGTGTAAAAAACAAGCATCATTTATTGTCATTTCTTAATACTTGTGTCGGTCAAAGTGTGCAATTCAATTCGGGACGGAGGGAGTGCAGTATACTAGAAATAGGTACTCCGTAATTGTAAGTCCTATATTCCAATATCTCCTCAATAATGAATACACGTGAGCTATTTGTTTTTTTTAAAAAAGGATGACACCTCATCCCTGAGGACCCCCAACTGCATAAATCTGAATCTGGCAGATAGAGAGTGGAGTTCTGTCCCCGGTACTTGCAGAGGCCCTATGCATTTTGGCATAGTAACCTCCTATCGCAGTTGCCGGGATTCGAACTCGGGACCTAACCCTTGTGGCACTCCCTCGTTAACAGTTGAGCTACGCTCATCGGTTGAGCTATTTGTTTTTATCAATACAAAAAAGGCCATTCCTTACCTGATTGTGCTGGTACTGTGTCTATATTTTTTCCTGATGACATTCTGCCACCATTAATTTCTAGCTTGCAGCATTTTCCTAAAAAAAAAATTAAGTTTCGAGACATTAACTATGTTAAAATAAATACTTACAATAACAATAATGATATGTAATGATAATAATAAAAGTAAATCGTAAACTTAGCTTACCCAAGATCATTAATTTCACAGCAATGATTTCGAGCTCCAAGATTGCATGACTAAACGAGCGAGACAACAAAGCTCAGAAAGATGCATGAGTTTCTTTCCAACGAATCATGTATACCCTTTATTTGGGGTGTTTCACCAAAATACGGGGTAGGGTCTAGGGAAAAAACACTTTCCTCACGTCGGATGTGCCAATTCCGACAGGGGTCATTTCTTTTTTTTTTCTGACCAAATTGTTATGTGTGATTAAAGTTTTTTTTTTAATTGTAAAATTTTTAATTTTGAAAGTTTTTTAAAATAAAGTTTTAAATTCGTATAGGAGTTCTAAATTCCGAATTTAGAAGTTTTTAAAATTTCTGTCATATTTTTTAGCATGAAAATTATGCATTTTGATTTTTTGAGTAACAAAACATTGATTACTTTATATTATTTTTTAATCGGGAAAAGGGCCAAAATGGACACTGAGGTTTTTAATGAAGAGCGTATTGGACATTAAGGTTTTTTTGAGATCAAATAAACATCAAATTAAACTTTTCAGACCTCATCGCCCACCCCCTAACATTTCCCGTTAACATCTTCTCTTCCCCGTTATCACCCTGCGATTAGACCTAATTGATATATACCTAATAAATACAATCTGAGACAGATTATGAAGAAGAAAGCAGTGATGTCGGCTAGTCCTTCAGCATCGAGGTCGTCTGAGGCACGGAAATCTGAGTCCGGTGATTCAGTGAAGCTTCGAAGCATCTATGAGCGACCGTATTCTGGGCGTTCTAGGTTTTGCAGATGCATGAATGCAAATGGAACTCGCGTCAAGGCGCCACTTTGGACTTCATGGACTGACAAGTATCCAGGGAGAAGATTTCATGGATGTCCTAATTATGAGGTATGCTTTTAATTGTTCTTTTCACATATGAGAACTGGAGAAGATCATGAATATGTATAATTTATTTATATTCATATTGATATTCATACTCTTGTGTATACTCAGAAGGATGGATGTGGCTTCTTTGAATGGCATGATGAGCCATTAACGGACAGAGCAAGGCATGTTATCAATGAGCTGAAACGGGAGAATAGGAGGCTCCAATCTGCAATGTTTGAATTGGAATGTGATAGTGTTGCTCAAAAGTTGGAGAGTGAACTTGAAGAAGTCAACAGTATGAATGATGCAGCTCATCTGGAATTGGAAAGCAAAACTAAAATGAAGAATAATTATGTTATTGTAGTGTTGTTATGTGTCCTTATTGTAGTATTATGTGTGTTAGTATGTTAGTTTCAGTTTCTTGTAAAATGGTTTGGTTATGACCTTGTAAACAGTTTGAATACATGTTGTTGTTAGAATTTGAATTTAAGTTAACACTTTGGTTTGGTTTTTAATAAGTTGGTCTGGTTGTATTACTATGTTTGAGAGCAGTGTATTGATAACACCACAAATGAAGTAGTGTACTGATAACACCAGTTTGAGAGCAGTTTGAAATCAGAGCCAATACCATAACCACAATACAATCTGTAGAAGAAAGCCCTCATGCCAACATGGTCTGGTTGAATAAACAACATATATAAACAAAAAAAGATGTTATATCATAACTTCACATCATTAGGGATCATAATACTGATTGTTAATGAGGTTACAAAATAAAAAAAAAAGCATTATAAGCCCTAATTTAGCACCCCATAATTGCAGTCAGTTCCTTATATTGCCAGAAGTACTAAAACTTCATACAAAACACCTAAACTTCCAGTGAATCTTCAAACGACTACATTGCCAAAAAAACTAATAAGCTAATAAATACATAGTGCCCAAAAGTGTTCTAATGAAACATATGAGTCTTCATTCATCCATATTTGCATCCAAAAGTGTTCTAATGAAACATATGAGTCTTCATTCATCACTTTGGAATGGAACCCGACCTCCTGATCTGCATCTTCTGTAACAACTGCTTAGAGCTGATTGTTGCATTCCCATTCCATTGCAAACCAGGTGGTTGAAAAGGTAGGTTTGTTGGATTATGCACCTCTGTACCATCACCCTTGAAAGGTATTGTTCTATATGTTGGCACATCCAACTGCTTCTCAGCCCGGGCAGCTCCTCTGATATCTTTTTCATTTGGGATTGTAAATCTGACTGTAACATCAGGGTCATGTGGCATTTCAGGCTGGAAATCTGAAACTATTTCCTCACTGCTCATCCCAGACTACAAGCATAAACAAGTACATGAAGGTAAAATTAGAAATAAGAAAACTTATTTCAATACATCAACAAACTAAACCACTTACATAACACTGGAAACCTATTGATACTCACATTTAAAGTCTTCTCCCCAGTGTTCACATCCACATGGCACCCAAAGCCTGTTACAGATTGTTTACTTATCTTCCTTCCTATTCTTCTACATGTCACTTTAGACTTACCAGTACTCCTTTTAGCATTAGTGTGTGGATTTGTTGGTGGAGCTGATTCTGTAGTGGTAGGAATTGCTGAAAAAGCAACACTAGCAGGTCTCTTCACAGGTATAGGTCCATTCCCTTCTGCTCCTTGAACACTTGCCTAAGAAACAGATAAAAAAAGTCATGAAAACACAATAAATCAATATTGCAGTTTACATCTTCAAAGTCATGTACTACTTACATCTTTATCTTTATTAGGACATGTAGCTCTCTTATGGCCCTCCTTATGGCATATCCCACAAGTTTGTAGTCTCCCTTTTCTTGATGATGTCTGAGGTGTAGCACTGGCAGATGTAGAAGCACTTCCAGATCCTTTGACCTCAGTAGATGATCTAACCCTGTTCTTATTTGGTCTGCCAGGTAGGTTTGGCACTGGGGGAGGTAAAATGGGTTCATAATCATCAACCTTCATGAAAGCTTTTCCAGGTACCGGTTGCAAAGCATTTGCATATGCTGCCATATAAGTCTCCTTATGATACCATCTTGAAATGTAGGTGATAGGATCTACCTTCCTATAATAGAAAGCACATATGACATGTAAGCATGGTATTCCAGTCAGTTCTCATGCTCTACAAGTGCAGACCATCTTATCCAACACAACTGTGTGCTTATCTGTCCCCTCTCCAATCTCAAACCCCACATCCCCATTAAATATAACATTGCAACCACTAGCAGCCTCCTTATTGTCTTGATAGTACTCCATGCATAAGGGAGACCAATCGTTTATCCACTTATCATGATTTGTCTTGAACTCTGAAATTCTTTTCATTGCCTTCAATCGTATATCTTCCAGCATGGTTACAATAGGTTTTGACCTAGCTTCCCGGATCCATGAATTGAAGGACTCTGTGATGTTATTATCAATCATCCAACATGAACACCTATTACTAAAGTATGCTCTACACCAAGTTTGAACTGGATACTTCAAAAGGTCAGAAGCAGCTTCAGTGCTCAATTTTCCAAGCTTTTTAAGATTCAGCTGCAGCTCTTCTTCATATGTGCTCCAGGAACATATCCAAAATTTTTTGCAAAACTCATTGCCTCTCCATTTTTTTGACCAATTAGCATACACATGTCGGGCACAGAACCTATGCTCTGCATCTGGAATGACCTCTTGAGCAGCACTAATCAGCCCCTTTTGCATATCAGAAATAAGTGTTAACTCACCACCAGTATTCAGGTGTAGCTCCTGAACAAGCCAACTCAAAAACCACCTCCAATTAGACTTATTCTCTTTATCAATGACAGCCCATGCTATAGGGACCATCTGCCCATTTCCATCCAACCCCACTGCACTCAGCAGATTACCCTTACAAACACCCTTTAGAAAGCAACCATCCACACCAATGATTCTTCTACAGCCAGCCAGCCAGTTCTGCCTCAAAGCAGCAAAGCATACAAACATTCTCTTGAATACTCTCCTCCCTTCTTTCAATGCTTCATTGCAGAGTTCAATTTCAGCTTTTGAACCTGGATTACTCCTCTTTAATGTGGCAGCATATGCTTCTAGGTACCCAAACTCAGCCTTATAACTACCATCCATTTCTTGAATAATCAACCTTTTAGCCCTTTTACATTTATACAAGCTAACATTTATCTTCAACTTCTTCTCTGCCTCCTCTTTCATGTCAGCAACTCGAAAGCTAGGATTTCTCTCCAGGTGCCCTTTAAAGTAATTTGCAAGCCACTTTTGAGTAGCACTAGGAATAGAATAGTGTCGGAAACACTTGTGCTCAGTGTTACAAATCTTCACTGCCAACCCATAGTTCTTCCCATCTTGAGAAATCCATAATCTAAATGGGCAGCCTTCCTCATTCAAACATTTAACAGCCAGTCTATTCTTCTCATTTGGTTTGATTTTCAGCTTGTAACCATATTTCACACCATAATTAGCGATTGCAGTCCTAGCCTCTTCAGCATCTGCAAAGGTCATTCCATTCATAAAACAATCTGACCCATCTGTTGCATTGTAATTGATTGTACCATCATTATCAGAGGATGGATCAGAATTGTTGCTCTCTTCATCTTCTGAGCCTCTATTTGATTCTTCATCTGTAACATACCCATTTGGGACACCACTTGTATTCACTTCATCACTTTGGTCTCTCCAATCTGTATTGGCAGACTCATCACCCACCCCACCATCATTCTCATCACCAATGTCATGATTACCAATTTCAGAAAATGAACCTTCTATCAGGGGAATCAAAATGGGTTCGTCCCGTTGATGGTCAGCATATAGCTCTATAGTATCAATCCAAGAAAATCTCCTTATACGATTTAACACTTTCCTTATAGTGTCATCATCCTGAACTAAGAAAAGTCCATTGTCCAAATCCTTTCCAGGTTCTAAAACATATATATTTTTCAGTGTTTTAAACCCTAAGTCATCCTTGTATTTTCTTGAAATGTCATGATAACACATATAATCAGGGTCAAACCCATAAACTGTATCAGCGTCCCCATTCACATACTGTAACTTTGGTTTCATAACCCACCTCCCGCTATGGTTAAATCTGAGATTAACCAACCCATTCATTGTAACAAACAAAAACAACACTCAAAGATTACCTCAAATTAGTCGTACGTATTGTAACCTTGGTCGTGCAGTTGAACACCTTCTAATCTTCTCAACTCACTCGCACAATCTCACACTTATTAGCCATGGAAGTGAGTTAGGGTTAGAAATTTCAATTAGGGAGATTGTAATCGCAGGGTGATAACGGGGAAGAGAAGATGTTAACGGGAAATGTTAGGGGGTGGGCGATGAGGTCTGAAAAGTTTAATTTGATGTTTATTTGATCTCAAAAAAACCTTAATGTCCAATACGCTCTTCATTAAAAACCTCAGTGTCCATTTTGGCCCTTTTCCCTTTTTTAATCCATTTGTATTGTGAATAAAATTCATTAAATGAGATACAAAATTTATTTTGTTTTAAATGCAATTTTTGTAATTTTAATGTAAGTGAACAAAACAAATGTAGTTTTCAATGTAATTTATTACTACGTAAGAAGTAGATAGTACATACAATAATAAATTTAATACTACATCTAACGTTGCGTGCTCGGCCCTGCTCCGTCCCCGCTGCCAGTGTTCCAAGCCCCCGTTGTGTCTCCATGGTAAAATGACGAATTCAAAAATGGGGAAACAAAATCATCCGATAGAATTAAAAAATACCATTTCTTCTACTTGAGAGCTCATAAAAGTTAATATAGGAGCCAAAATTATACTTAAGCTAAAGAAATTTTTTATGTCATCTCAGACATTAAAGATCTAGTTCAATAGATGAATGGGCTGCTTATTAATAAAAATTCAGTGCATATTCAAACCATGTTCTTTAATAAAAATTCAGTGCATATTCAAACCATGTTCTTTAGTTTAATATTACGTACTACATATAAGATTTATATATTCAAATATGTCAAGCCATTTATTTAGTATTTCAGGTTTAATAATTTACGTTTAAATCTACGTCTAAACTCATTGTTGTAACTTGTAATCATAACTCTCAATTCAAATTAGAGGAGTTAATTACCAAAATGCGGGAGTTTTATGTCTGACAAGCCAAAATACAGGAGTTGTGATTAGGTTACCAATTTGCGGGAGTCGGATTCTCCAATTCCGACATGAGGAAAGCTTCAAAAATAGGGTTTGTAAATGTACAACACATGGTCAGATTTGGGTGATCCGACAAGAATCAAACCAAAAAACAACCTAGTCGGAATTGTGAAGTAGGCTGTGCTTTGAACTGCCCCTCCTCAAACTTTGATAAGTCTTGTTCGATGGCATTTACTCTAGCTTCATTCCTTCAGTGAGCTTTGCATGCCCTCACATAGCAACTCCTAGCCATTTTTTGTCTCCTCTTATCGTTCCTATTCCCTCGAGGGTGTAGAACTGGATGCATAAATGAGCCTGGGAAATGATTGCTCCCAGGTCCTCCAAAAGAGCCCAGAAGTTAGTTGGCCTATTTCCGTGTGTGCAGTGTTAGACGGAAACTTCAATTCAGCCCCACTGATGCTAACCGTGAAGCTTGCTCTTGTTTATTACCGTTTTCTTATGTTCCAGCGTATGAATGGGCTTCAATATTTGTTTGGGACGCCAAACATAAACCTTCCTTTCGTTTCTACGCTCTTCGGACTTCGGATTCATAGCCTAGGGTTCGAAAAAATCCTTCCGCCAAGCCACCCACATCTATGAGTATCATCGCTGCCCTGGTAATCATCCCCTCTTAGCTAAAAGCTCTTCTCCTATTTTGCTTCTCTTTAGTTTCTAGGTAGGGTTTCTCATCTGCTACGATGTACTCTGCTGCAGCCATCATCGATATCAAGAACACAGTTTTGTTTCACATTTTCTAAGGTGTTACTTTTTCAGACCGGACCCCTCAATTGATTTGGAATGAATATTTTTTAATAAAATCACCCTTGATAATTCGCTGTGTAATCAAACATTAATTTATACATCAAGTGCGATTTTCTTGCCATCAATGTATCATTTCACCCTTTTTATGTGCGCCATGGATTCTGGTGAGAGGGAAGAGAGCAGTAGACTATGAAGGCGCTAATCCTGCATAACCCAGGCTTTTTGAAGCCTGGTAGCACCCGCATCAGAGGTAGAAGAAACAGAGGGTTTAGAGTTGGTACCATCCAAAAATCCGAATAGGTCTTGGCTTTTGAGAAGGGTCTCCACCGGAGTTCTCCAGAGAAGGTAATTGGTAGATGATAATTTGATGGATAGCATATGAATAAGAGTAGCATAAGGAAGGGAGTGGTCTACATCCACCATTTAGAAAAAAAGGATTTGAGGAGTGAATAGCAGTACGGTTAGGGGTAAACCTATATTGATACCATGTGAATAAAATCACCCTTGATAACGTGGTAGTCTGGTAGATTTTAGTTTCACTAGCTTGACGCATTACTTCTTTGCATATTGAAAGTTTAATTTTATTGTAAAGTCTTCTATGTGGATTAAGGGTTATCTAAGCAATCTAGATTAAATTTTCTCTCTGATTCAGGCAGTATTGGAGACTGTTGCTAGAGTTAAGACCAAGAAAAATGACACAAAAAGGAAGAACAGATTGTAATTCCACTATACGTCCTCGGTACTTGGTTTCATTCTCGACCACATGCTTATCTTTTTTTTGCCTTTTTTTTATTCTATGCAATGGATGTTCAGGCCATTTCAACTTCACCACGTCTTTAACCTTGATAACGACCATGGAGCAGAAGTGTAGATGAAATCCACGGTTCTATTTTTTTGAGAAGGTAAATCAAAACTAAGTTTGATTTTATAGGTTGGTTTGAATTGATTTAATCCGTAATATGAAACACATTGTTCTCCGCATGAGTGTGTTTTATTCACTCTTGACCTTAAGTTAGTTTTTTCCCTAGGTTATGCTTTTTTGTGGTCTTGTATGTCTTGTATTTATGAGGTTTTGGCAGCAGAAAAGGGAAAGGGAAGACTTGACCTTTATGTGGGTATTTTTCTCATCCTTCTCCTTCATCATGTGGAAGGACAAGATAGATTTTAATCAACTTAACACGAAAGATCAACCATTGTATTTATCCAAACATTGTTTCAATGACCCGTATCGTGTTTGTCTGATAGTTTTTGTCTATGTTTTGAAGGAATACTACGCTCATGGAACATGCAAGGCGAAAAATTGCTTTCGTTTTTCCTTTTCAGAGCACACTTGTGGCCATCAGGGATTGGTTTAGGGTCTTCAAGATCCCTGTTGGAAAACTGGCTCTGGCTAACAAGTTTGGCCTTGGAAATAAAGCTGTAAGTAAGGTATACATACTTTACCTGGCAAACTTGCTAACAATTCTGAGTGGTCTTCAAAACAAAATGTGATTTGCAAGTGGCATTTAACTTTTTAAACTAATGAGCTTGTGTGTGTGCCATGACAGGACAATGCACTGACAATGAAGGTGATTAAAGAAACCAATGAATCTCAGGCTAAGCTTGTCAAGAGATATGTTCCATCTGGCGAGTTTTCACTTCCATAGTAACATTCTTCCGGTTTAAAACCTATTTGAAAGCATGAAACATGCTAATGTTCAAGCCATCATCCAGCCAACCCTTGTTCGGTATTTTTGCCTAAGATTCATTTATCATTCGATGTCCGAAATAAACTCGATTCTTGTATTTCATTATTTATAGAAGTGGACTGTATAAAATGGTACAGATCATTATTTATTTTGGCCTAAAAACATCTTAAAAAGCTGATAAACTCAATTTATAAGATGCAAACTCCTAACTTAATTCAACATGGTTGCTTCTGTGAACTCAGTTTGTACATAGTAGGTTTGAATTTGTTAATATTATCTCTATAAAGTTAAGAGGTGATGTTATTCAAAGTCTGTTTTTAAAATGAACAGAAAAGTTGTGCAAATCTGCTTAGTGGGGCAATGGAGCTAACATAAGAAGATGGTGAATAAGGAACAAACCTTTTCGTGATTAGGACAGTTTGGGTTCCATGTCGTTTTTACTCAACTGTGTGTTTTAGTTTTTATCAAATCATTGAGGGTCATTGTTTTATTTATGAGAATAAATAGCTTTGTCATAATATATGAACACTTAAATTTAAATCTGAGTGACATCAATCACTTAACAGTGACATCCTCATGTACAGGGGGAATACACCATTTTGCAGGAAAGAATGCAGGCAAAAACAGATAGAGATGGATGAAGCAAAGGAAAAAAGAATGAAGCTTTCTTATTCCAAGCGGCGGTCAAACACGCAGCTGAGACAGTCAATGAAGCAAGAAGGGAAGACAACCGAGAGCAAGAGGGTTGTAAGAATAGCAATCATTGTGGCTTTTACCTAGCTTTCGATTACCATTTTCGAACTCCTAACTTAATTCAACCTAGCTTTTGTGATGTATTTGCGCATCTTTCTTATACAATGCAATTTCCTCGTTTTTTCCCAAGATAGGGCATCAACCGTCGCGGTGTAACCTGAGGACGCTGATGGAGAGCTTTATAGAGCTTTATAAGTTATGATATATTGGTTATAAGATACTATATTGGTCTATAAGATTGCTGCGTTGTAAGATTAGATGCAAATCCAAGGGCTGAGATTACTTCTCACTTCTCATCTTAAGGAGGACTTATCACCTGATCATCTCTCTCTCTCTCTCTCTCTCTCTCTCTCTATATATATATATATATATATATATATATATAATTAGCGGTGGTGCACTTTTACTAACTTGTCTATGAAGGATTACTGGGATGACTAACCCACTTATGTTTAAAAGCAGCAAAGATCAAGCGCGTGCTTGTATGTACACGGTCCATTTATGAAAACAAAAGTTAACTGGGCTATTTTTGAAAGAAAAATGAAAAGGTGAAAAAGGTGATATTATTTAAACTTTTAAGTCTAGTTGCGATATTTTTTAAAAACAATCATCATCCCTAATAGCAGTCCAAAGCAATTGTCCTTGTCCCCGTACAAAACCCATAAGTGCTAGGGTTTAGCATTAGTCACCGGGTAAAGGTCTAGCCTTGAAACCGTACGTCATTCTTTTCGTATCGGCGCCGCACCTGATAGGCGGACCGATCAAAATTCAAAAATCAAGTTGACGAATTGACCAAGAGTTGGAAGATACGCTAGCATGCGTGTCGGAACCACACCGATGAGTATTTCGGTCTTCGTCTCTGGCAGCGCCATTACACCACTTCGATCAAAATAAATCACTGAAGATTTTTTTTTGACTTCCTAACACTACCATCTGTCCGTTTGTACCCAAACTTTGAGTTTTCCGGTCAGCTTCTCCGGGGTAAAAACATCAATAACACAGAAAATAGAGACTAATGTCCAATTGACTCCTCATCCGCCGCATGCTTTGGATCTCCATATAGATACATCCATACGGTGTCATAGAATCAAATATCCAGAAGACTTTCTACTCATTCTTCAGTTGCTCTTGGCCTCTTGGGTATTGATAAACACATGTTAAGCATCAGTGTATTTTTTGATTTAAATTAGATGGTGAGCATGAGGGTCAGCAAATTGATTTTTGTAAACTTTACATCAAAAATACCTTTTATTTGATGATTAGCTACAACTTTCAAGGCTACAATTTCCCAAACAATCAAAAATACTACCTCTGTCCCCCTAAGTTTGGGACAAGAGAAGATGGCACGGTTATTAATAAAAGTGGGTTTATGTGATTGATATTGAATTGATAAAGTAAGAATAAAGTTGAAATGATTTAGAACCACACAAACTTTACCAAATAAGGTATGAGACAATCTTAGTGGGACGGACCGAAATGGTAAAATGGGACAATCATAGTGGGACGGAGGGAATACCTTTTATTTGATGCTTAGCTACAACTTTAAAGGCTACAATTTCCAAGATAATATCAGTGATATTACCGAACACCTTTTATTTGACCAACTTTTGAGTTTGAGTTTATTCCAGCGCAATACCAATTTTACGCTTGATTGTGATGTTTTCGAGCGAGAACTCTAGCTGGTTTTTCACTTTGCTATATAGATTTTAGCTCTTTTGGTGACATTATTTTTTGACTTATCAAGCTTATTAACCAACGCGTAATATTTTATTTCACATGTTGAATTGTGTAATAATAAAAAAAGTAAGATTGAAATTATTTTTTGACCGTATTTGCTGAAGTTATTGTAGCGGATTATTTTAGCCATTCTTTCATACTCCCTCCGTCTCCGAAAGAAGTTCTCACTTTCCTTATTTGGATGTCCCTAATTTAAGTTCTCATTTCCTTAAATGTACATCATTTAAGTGCCAAACAGTACAAAACAGAGTCAAAAAGTGTCGAAACTTACCCCTTATAAGTTTACTGGCATAAAAAGTGTGTGAAAGTCAAATGGGGAACTTCTTTCAAGGACGGAGGGAGTATAATTTTTTCATTATTTAAGTTAAGGAATCTCAAATAATAAAGTTAAGAAAATTCGTTTAATTTTCAATGTAATTTTTTTTACCCTTCTTTAGGAGGATAAAATAGTGAAGCTAAATTTTGTCAATTTAAATAGAAATAAAATTTGTACTACAATTGTCTCAAATCAAGTTGGATTTATGCTTCAACATTTGTCTCAACAAGTTGTATGGGCAAAACAATATTTATACTTGACTTGGCCGGTTGGACGCTGATGTTACTGTACAAAAAAATTTGAGAATTGATGTTACTATAAATAGTCAGCAAAATTTTGAAATATTCTCGACCCTGTAGTAGCATCGAAGATTCAAAGACCACTTAGAAAAAGTAAAAAGACAATAATAATTAACCTAATTGTAGGTCTGCAACCTTTTAATGTTTTCCAAATTATAGGATGACTGCAGGAATTAGGCTAACCAATTTTTTTTATGCAATACATTTACTGAGTATTACTTTTCTAATCCAAGTTATTTGACTCGAATTCCTAATCCGACTTTGAGCGGGAAAGTTGGGCATGTTTGTCCTCTCTTTGTATATTAAATGATATACTATTTATTAGGGAGTATCACATAGTTTTTCTCCGGCCATGATTATTTATCTTTAAACTAAACGACAATAATAAATACTTTAATAAATTTGAATGATTGATTGACAAACCGCATTTGAAATCATTGTATCCCTCTGACCAATACTATGATGGCGGCGGTTGTGAATCAAATTATCATTAACATTTCTATATTCTAATTGATACATTGGACCTTCAGCGTTCAATGCCACGTTTAAATCTAATGTCCTAAAGTCGTGGCTTCGTAGAGCATCTATTATCGTCCCTTGAGTGTATCCAATATTCACGCGTCTTGATATCTTTATTCTGAGCAAAACACCGGCTATACCATGAATATCACGTAGAGGTTTAACTTCTCAACACTTCTGAGATTAACTGTCGTGTTTATCCCACGATAGTTCCACCATTGAATGATCAATTGTGTAATGATAAGCATTTGTTGATCAAGGAATGTGTTCTTATCCAACTGTAAATTAATCTTATCTTGCAACTTTTGCAGGTGTTCTAGAACATCATCCCCTCTTTGTATTTTCCGGTTGAACCTCTGCACTTTGTTGGCTGATATTCGTATCTCGTCGCGCACAAGTCGTACTTGAGTCAACATACTGAAAATGCGAGTAAAAGAAGTTGATCCTGGTGGTCCTCCAATTGGAGCTGCTACTTCCATATTGTCTCTTGTAAAATCAAAACACACCCAATTATCTTTTGAAGAAAAAAACAACTATTTAAATAGTAGCTTACCAAAAATAATAAATTTTTGTTCTGGGTGAATAACAAGTATTTAGGGGTGAATAACAAGTATTTAGGTGTTAAATTAAATTATACAAAAATAACAACTAATTAGTTTTAGGGGGAATATAATTTTTTTTGAAGTAGGCAGAGTATATTAATCATTTATATTAAGCAACTAGAATATATTAATTGGAATGAATATATTAAACGATAATAACTAAATGATAATAACTATTTTATTTGATTTTAGGATAAAATGCGAAATAATAAAAGAATATTTTTGAAAAATTGGAATAACAGATCAAATAGTCAAATTAAGTATTTAGCTTCTACATATCAGGATGAAAATGCTTACATATAACATACGATTTAACACATCAGCTCTCACTCTAAAAAGGTCGGATGTTTGCAGTGAGAAGACGATACTAGGAGACGATATTAGGGACTTTATTTATAATAAAGTCATGGTTCAATAAAAGAAGATGAGATGCAAATGTGAGATTATTTTGGCATCAACAAAAGTCAAATTTGCATAATAATCTCACTTTCACATAATCCCAAAATAATCTCACATTTGCATCTCATCTTGTTTTGTTGAACCGTGACTTTATTATAAATAAAGTCTCTAGTATTGTCTCCTAGTATCGTCTTCTCACTGCAAACATCTGACCTTTTTAGAGTGAGAGCTGATGTGTTAAATCGTATGTTATATGTAAGCATTTTCATCCTGATATGTAGAAGCTAAATACTTAATTTGATTATTTGATCTGTTATTCCAATTTTTCAAGAATATTCTTTTATTATTTCACATTTTAGCCTAAAATCAAATAAAATAGTTATTATCGTTTAGTTATTATCATTTAATATATTCATTCCAATTTTTCGAAGAAAAATAAAATATATTTTCCCCCAAGACTAATCAATTGTTATTTTTGTATAATTTAAATTAACACCTAAATACTTGTTATTCACCCCTAAATACTTGTTATTCACCAAAACAAAAATTTTTTATTCTTGGTAAGCTACTATTTAAATACTTGTTTTTTTCTTTTAAAGATAATTGAGAGTGTTTTGATTTTACAAGAGACAATATGGACATAGCAGCTCTAATTGGAGGACCACCAAGACCAGCTTCTTTTACTCGCATTTCCAATATGTTGACTCAAGTACAGCTTGTACGCGACGAGATACGAATATTAGCCAACAAAGTGCAAAGGTTCAACCGGATAATCCAAAGAGAGGAGGATGCTCTAGAAACCCTGCAGAAGTTGCAAGATGAGATTAATTTACAGTTGGATAAGAACGCATTCCTTGATCAACAAATGCCTATCATTACACAATTGATCATCCAATGATGGAACTATCGTGGGATAAACACGACAGTTAATCTCAGAAGTGTTGAGAAGTTAAACCTCTACGTGATATTCATGGTATAGCCGGTGTTTTGCCCGAAATAAAGATATCAACGCGCATGAATTATGAAGACACTCAAGGGATGATAGTAGATGCCCTACGAAGTCACAGCTTTAGGACAGTAGATTTAAACGTGGCATTGAACGCTGAAGGTCCAGTGTATCAATTAGAATATAGAAATGTTAATGATGAATTTGATTCACAACCGCCGCCACCATAGTATTTGGTCAGAGGGATACAATGGTTTCAAATGCGATTTGTCAATCAATCATTCAAAATTATAAATTTATTGAAATATTTATAATTGTCGTTTAGTTAAAAATAATAATCATGGTCGGAGAAAAACTATGTGATACTCCCTAATACATAGTATATCATTTAATTAACAAAGCTAGGAGAAAAATGCCCAACTTTCCCGTTCAAAGTTGGTTAGGAATTCGGGTCAAATAACTTGGATTAGAAAAGTAATACTTAGTAAATGTATTGCATAAAAAAAATTGGTTAGCCTAATTTCTGCAGCCACCCTATAATTTGGAAAACATAAAAAGGTTGCAGACCTACAATTAGGTTAATTATTATTGTCCTTTTACTTTTTCTAAGTGGTTTTCGAATTTTCGATGCTACTACAGGTTCAAGATTATTTCAAAATTTTGCTGCCTATTCAAAGTAACATCAATTCTCAAAAAAAAATATAGAGCAACATCAAGGTCCAACCGACCAAGTCAAGTATAAATATTGTCTTACCCATACAACTTGTTTGAGATAAATGTTGAAGCAAAAATCCAAATCCAAATAAATCCAACTTGATTTGAGACAATTGTAGTACAAATTTTATTTCTATTTAAATTGACAAAATTTAACTCCATTATTTTATCCTAAAGAAGGGTAAAAAAATTACATTGAAAATTAAACGAATTTTCTTAAGGTTGTCCTTCGGCTGCATTCGATGATGATGTGCGAGATGTAAGAGTGATAGAGAAGTTACACGGTGTTAGGTTCTTGGGCATAGAGCACATTGCCCGCTCAAAGGTGGATCACAGTTTAATATGCGCTTTGATGGAGAGATGGAGGCCGAAGACACGTACTTTCCATCTTCCATTCGGTGAGGTCGCCATTAGTCTACAAGATGTGGCGATCATACTTGGTTTGCCCATTCGGGGTATGCCCCTCAGTGGTCCAACCGTTCAGGGTAAGGCTCAGTGGATCGACCTGTGCACGCAGTCGTGTGATTTCACTTCTAGAGAGTCTGATATGCGCACGAGTGATATCAACTTGAGTAGTGTTACTCGTCGCCCGATCCTACCCGACAGTACAGACGAAGAGGTCACCCAGCACACTAGGGTCATAATATGGCAATTGCTTGGAGGGTTTTTGTTCCCTAACACAAGTGCGGCAAGAATACGATTGTACTTTTTGGAGGTCTTGCAGGGTGACTTGGCTTTAGCCCATCCATGGAGTTGGGGATCAGCGGTGTTTGGATACCTCTACCATAACTTGTGCAACGGCGCCAGGTGAGAAACCAAACAAGTTGGCGGTTGTATGCATTTGTTACAAATTTGAGCTTGGACGAAGATTTCGATGGTCTATCTCACAGTACTTTGAGTCATTCAAAGTAACCATCTTCCATATGGGTGCATGTATGTTGGCAATTACATCTTAATAATTGAGAATGCTTTATATGACGTTACTTTTTTTAACTTCATATTGGTAATCAATAAATGTAGGTGGATCGTCCCCATGTCATATAAGGGATCCCCAAGACACTGCATACGTTTGTACCGGGACCTCTTAGACCGCATGAGTGAGAGTCAGGTACTACTTGGAATTTTAACTTCAATTGTACTATTCAATTTTTAGTACACAATGTTTACTAGTTCTTAAATTGGAAATTAAACTTTTTACACTTTGATTTTGCTCCCTACACGGGCGAGACACTCCCACATGCCTGCCTTGATGTCATTCCCTTTGGTAGGCTGAGGTGATGATCATATTTTGCAATATGCCTGAAATACATTACCCCAATCGATTTCTTCGGCAGCTCCACATAAGACAAGATATTCCGAAAAAACCTTTGCAAGGTGATGATCATCACACCAGTCGTTCCAACATATCAGCAGGTGCTTTAACATTGTGAGCGGACGTGCAAAATCATACATACTATCTTTATTATGAACAACTTACGTCCCTCGAAGCGACTGATAAGTACCGAAGATGGTACAGGCGGTATGGGATGACACGTGTCCAGAACCTTTCTCACAATGTGCCCGCGACAGGCTACACCCTGACAGCACGCAATTGGGGTCTTGTGGTAAGTTTTTAAATACATACCATATTCATTAACATATATCGTGTCATATTATTTATACGTGTTACATTTTTATGCATAAGCAAAGCCTTCATGATGTGTATCAGCTCGCCGGCAACTACGCGAGTTATGAGGACATTCAAGAATGGCTACAGCGGTTGGCCCTGGGTGTAGGTGATGAAGAGATGCTCCATCGGGGCATATTCCATTATGAAGATTGAGATGAAGGTGGAAACGAGCAAGAGGATGATGCAGAAGAATATGAAGGTGGGGTGAGGAATCACAACTGCCCCTTGAATTCTCAACGCGTCAAGGTTTCTCATTTGATCAACCACCGACGTATTATGATTGTTATCAGTACTCAACACAGTCGGATGATTTTGTTTCCTCATTTCTGAATTCGTCATTTTACCATGGAGACACAACGGGGGCTTGGAGCATTGGTGGCGGGGACGGAGCAGGGCCGAGCACGCAACGTTAGATGTAGTATTAAATTTATTATTGTATGTACTATCTATTTATTAATAAATTACATTGAAAACTACATTTGTTTTGTTCACTTCCATTAAAATTACACAAATTAAATTTAAAACAAAATCAAATTTGTATCTCATTTTATGAATTTTATTCACAATACAAATAGATTAAAAAAAATATTAAGTAATCAATGTTTTGTTACTCAAAAAATCAAAATGCATAATTTTCATGCTAAAAAATATGAGAGAAATTTTAAAAACTTCTAAATTCGGAATTAACAATTCCTATACGAATTCAAAACTTTATTTTAAAAATCTTTCAAAATTAAAAACTTTTACAATTTAAAAAAAAACTCTTATCACACATAACAATTCGGCCAAAAAATTAAAAAGAAAAAAGAAATAACCCCTGTCACAATTGGCACATCCGACGTGAGGGAAGTGTTTTTTTCCTAAACCCTACCCCTAGTCGGATTTGGCGAATCTGACTCCCCCTTTTTGATAAACCCTAAAAATTTCCCCGTATTTTGGGAAGCCTTGTATGGTTTCCCGTATTTTGGTAAAACACCCTATGAAGTACTCTATTTCATCATCTTTTTGAGATGTAGAGGCAGTAGAGCCATTCCAATGAACCATTACAACAGTATTGCTCTCAGTAGACATTTTTATATGAGAGGAGAGTGCCTAAACTGAAAATATAATGAATATATTAAGAGAGAAAGATGTGTTTTTTTGGAGTGTGTTTGAAAATTTTGAGAACAACGGATTTCATAGAAGGTAATTGTGGTACGAGTTTGGTGAAAGACTAAGCAGTAAACGAAACACGTTACACCATAAACCATAAACCATAGTTGGATTCATCATTTCCGACCGTATAATTTGGTAAAATGAATGAACACAAATCAACCAACAAATCGAAAATAATAAAAATTATTGAAACACCCTTGTCGGATTTCACAATTCCGACTAGGTTTTTTTTATTTTTGGTTTGATTCTTGTCGGATCACCAAAATCCGACCATGTGTTCCTCCTGTCATATTACATTTACAACCCCTATTTTCGAAGCTTTCCTCCTGTCAGAATTGGAGAATCCGACTCCCGCAAATTGGTAACCTAATCACAACTCCCGTATTTTGGCTTGTCAGACATAAAACTCCCGCATTTTGGTAATTAACTCCTCTAATTTGAAATGAGAGTTATGCTTAGAACAATGAGTTTAGACGTAGACTTAAACGTAAAATTGTTAAATCTGAAATACTAAATAAATGCCTTGACATATTTGAATATATAAAACTTATATGTAGTAAGTAATATTAAACTAAAGAACATGGTTTGAATATGCACTGAATTTTTTTTAATAAGCAGCCCATTCATCTATTGAACTAGATCTTCAATGTCTAAGATGACATAAAAAATTTCTTCAACTTAAATATAATTTTGGCTCCTATATTAACTTTTATGAGCCCTTAAGTAGAAGAAATGGTGTTTTTTAATTCAATCGATAATACTATGATTAAGTACATATAATCATATACAGTATTAGATCCATTATTGCTTCTACATGAGATAACTACACATAAGTACGGAGTATATCACAAGGTGGTTCTCTTTAAAGAAATATTATTACAGGTTAATACATCAATTGAATGAAATTCTCATTGGAACAATTTAACAAACACATTATAAATATTCCAAAATAAACATACTTTGACCTAGATTATTTCATGGTCTATCTTTGATTTAAAGAAATTAAGCAAACTCCAGATATAAGTATATACAATAACCAAACCTTATGTATAAAAATATTTAATATGAGACATAAAGCTCTAAGATAATTTCACAGGGACATTTTCTTCGACTTTAAATTCTTAAATTTGTAATATTCAAGATCTAACCCAGATTTAGAGCCACAAAAACAATCTGTGATAAAAAGTATACGGAAACCGCAGAGAAAGTATAAAAATTAAAAACTTAATGCTTATTTTAAAATCATTTTACCTGAATATGGAAGAAGCTCGAGCGGCAGAGGAAAGTGGCATTGCAGAGGAGTGGCGGTAGGCGGAGTAGCAGCTGTAGGCGAAGGAGCAACGGTAGGTGAAGGAGCGGCGGTAGGCGCAAGAGAGGCGGTAGGGGCAGGAGGGGCGGTAGGCGGAGGGGCGGTAGGCATATCAACAACGATAGGCGCAGGAGAGCGGTGGTTTCGGACAGATCTGGTCTATACTTCTTTAATTTCAGGATGGTGGCATTGCCTTGGGCTTTTGCGATAATTTCTTCTAAAATTCATTTTCTACACTTTCTTATACACATTAGTGCACCTTGTGTTTGTTAGAGTTTTTTTGTCTAGAATCTCAGTCCATAGACAAAAACAAACTTATTTTGTCTGTAGAATTTTTCACAGACAAAACACGTCTTTATTTGTCTGTGTACTGGGATTCACAAACAAAAAAAACTCTCACAAACACGAGAGTGTACTGATGTGTATAAGAAGGTGTACACCAAGAATTATTGGTGTACCGGTCTGCTGATGCTTTTCTTTATACAAAAACCTACTTCTATTGAATAATATTTTAAGTTAGGGAGATTACTTTTATTCCAATTAGGGAGATGTTATGACTAAACAATATTAAGAAGATATATTTTTTACCATTAAAATAAACAAATTGATTTTTACTTTAAAAACGTGTTTCATCTAATTATATGTAACATAATGGGAAAATCGCACTTTTAATCCCTGAAAAAGTCACCATATTGAAATGCAAGACTCATATTTCTGAGATTGTAAATGTTGAGGTTTATTCCCTTCAATCCGTAGGCCCAACACGTAACCTAAGGGTCTCGAGTGGGTGATGGACAAGTGAGATTAAGTACAAGCAAGGAAAAGGTCCAATAATGAGTGTTTATTCACTGGAACGATTACAAAGCCGAAGGGCCATTCGTACAGCGTTATGCTACGTGCTGATACAAATGATATGGTGCTAGAGTGCTAAATTGTGAACCCTTTACAGTGAAATAAATGCTACTATTTATACTGCCAATGGGTGGTTGGATGTGTCGACGTGACTGGCTGTGGATGGCATGATCCCAACCACCAAATCTTCTGCATTAAATGTGTTTCCCGCCAGGATCTTTGTTTCCCACCATGAGGAGGGGACGTTCGTCCCCAAGGCTTTGGCTCCTGTCTCCTGCAGGGATCCTCTTCTTCTGCCAAGGAATGGGGACATTCGTCCCCTAGCACTCGACCTATTCCTTGAGCTATCCTTGTCCTCGTATCAAGGGGTGGGGTTGTTCGTCCCTATATACCCTGCGGAAGTCTTGGGCCTGGATACCCGCTGATCATGGGGTAGGTGTGTCCCTTGGGACTTGTCTCCTTGTTGGGGGTGGGCCTCCTCCCGAACCAGTGACATGTATCCCCTCCTTATTGGGCTTTCAACAGGACGTTCGTAGGGAAATCTCAAGGGCCCTCTGAAGACGTTCGTCGGACAATCCCCATTCATTGTTGGGCCGCTCGTAGGAGGCTATCATGGGTTGGTGGGCCGGCCCTTGTTGGGCCATTAACCCAACACAAGTCCCCCACTTCTGATGTTCCGAGCGTGCACGGGGCATAAGGAAGTAGAAAAACTCCCGACATGTCGCCCTACCAATGTCCCTGATGTGACGGTTGCTTTTCTGGATGCTGTTCATGGGGCTCTAGGTGACGGTTATGCAGACCGGTTCAACTTCCGATGAAAAGGTAATCATCGTGTGCATGTCCATCTCCGTGTGACACGTGTTCATGGATACGCTCCTCACCACGCGTCATGCACGGATTGGATAAAGGTAAGGTGCCCCTCCCTTTAAATATTGGGCCTTCCGTGTAGATTAGGGCTTTCACCTTCCTGCCTTGCTCGCTATTGCCTTCAAGTTTATCTGCAAGTATTCTCCGGCTCCTTGACCCGTCCTTCGAAGTTCATCAGGTAATTAAACCCACTCTTCTTCTCTCCTTTGCTTCATCCTTTGATATGGCTTGTTCTATGGAAATATCTTCCAAGTCGAGTTTCGGGTCATGTTGGTCCCGGTTGTACTGGATACAGTCTAGAGGGGGGGTGAATAGACTGTATTGGTTTTTCGCTTTTTAGACTAAGTACCAGATTTTACAGAATAGCCTGTTCTGTTGACAGAACAGACTGGCAGCGGATGGGGTTCTGGTAGGGAGTTCTGTTGATTTAGCCTCAGAGAAGCAAAGGCAGTAGGCCTTCTGTTAACTCATAGGACAAGTTCTGCTGAACACAGATACCAAGTCTGAGGAGTTAGACAGTTCTATCTAAGTGCAAATATTAAAGCAGTAAGTAAACGACACCAGGGATTTTTATAGTGGTTCAAGGAACAACTCGTTCCTCTAATCCACTGTTCCACTAAGCTTGTAAAAACGACCGTTTACAACGCCTTAGTCCTAGCACTTAAGAAGCTCTCCACGTCTTCTTCAAGCCTAGATGTCTCCTGGGATGCACTGCCTGGCTTCCTTTAAGACTGGTCCTTTCACTGAGATTCCTGGAAGTATCACCACTTCACTACTCAAGTTACTTGGACGTCCTTCTTGTAGTAAGAAGAGTTTCTGTTGAAACAGGGGTTCCTCCAACTAGCTTCGTTACAAAGGATTTGTATGTGATGAGCTTGAAGAGTTGAAGAACACTTGGAACTTTGCTTGAGTTGGAAAAAGTATTTTTCCAACTTCTGCCTTCTCTTGTAGAGGATGATGAGGTGTTAATCTCAAGGAGGCTTTTTGCTTTTAAGCGTTTGAATTTCTTGTATGAAGAGTTGTAGCAATGGTTAGCAAAAATTGCAAAGTTATCCGGTTGTTCTTCGTAGTGTATCTTTTATACTGAGGTTGTCTTCCCGTTGGAGGAGTAGGAGGACAACTGCATTAAATGAGCGATCAGTTGACTTGACCAGTAGATCCCGGTAAAGTTGGCGGGTTACTATTTTGGGATAAAGTATTCCTGACATTGCGGCCAATCATTTGCAATTACTCTACGGAGCATGGGGAGCATTAAATGAACATTTAATGCGCGTACTGTAGCTTATCCGTTCAATACTCCTAGCCGTTGAAGGAATCTTTCAGTTGATTTCCCGGCTTTGTGGAATTCTTCTAAGTGTCAGACCTTCTGGTGTCTTTAACTGAGAGTTGAACAGAGGAGGTCTGGAGCACTTCTGTTGAGAATATATCCAACAGAGACCCAGAAGGGTTTCTGTCAGAGTAAAGACTAACAGAGACCCTGAGGTCTTCTGTTCTGGAGCAAGAACCAAAGGTCCTCTGTTCCAATAATGCCTTACAAGGGTCTTCTGCTCTTGGAGCCCTTCTGCTCAGAAGGTCTTCTGCTCTGAAGGCATTCTGCCAAGTCGATTACACTAAGAACTTTACAAATGAAAATTCTAATACATTAAGTCTAAATAGGGGTACTCTAAAGTCCTAATTAATCTAGCATCATCAAAATCTAAATACAAATATTCCTTACAGGTTAGGCTCTTCTACCGACTCGTCTTCTGGTTCGGGCTCCAGTTCCCGTTCCTCGGGGGAGGTGAGTACTTCTGTCCACTCTGGTACCTCTGACGTGGTAGGTCAGGTTATGGCGGATATGGCTGTCCCTGGTGGTGCGGGCACAGAAGTTGTTATGGATATCGCCCCAGGGGGTGACCGGATGGCGGCGGCCCAAGCAAACGTCGTGGTTGATCGCCCTGTTGATTATGATTCCAGCGACGAAGCGACCGAAGGGGATGATCTGCAAGTTTTTTATTTTGGCATTCTTGTGGACGTCTCCCGCCACATCGTGCAGATCCATAATGTTTCCGGGATCGAGCAATCCTTCTCGCGTAGGGCCTTGAAAGATCTGCGGATTCTGCTTCCTCCGCCGTTCGTCTACAGCTTGCGGGGTGCCGATAATCTGTTCATGAGACGTCTGAGGATGATCATGGTTCATATGGACTCCATCAAGGCCGGACTACACTTCCCCCTTCACCCATTCTACCTTGCCTTCTTCTATCATTATAACGTTGTACCAGCGCAGTTCATGCCAAACTCGTCCTGGTTTATCTCTGCATTCATCATCCGTTGCAAATTGAAGGGTTTGACTCCAGATCTTGACCTCTTCCACCATTTCTTCCAGGGCTTTTTATAGTGGTTCAAGGAACAACTTGTTCCTCTAGTCCACTGTTCCACTAAGCTCGTAAAAACTTCCGTTTACAATGCCTTAGCCCTATCACTTAAGAAGCTCTCCACGTCTTCTTCAAGTGTAGATGTCTTCTTGGATGCACTTCCGGCTTCCCTAAGACTGGTCCTTTCACTGAGCTTTCCCAAAAGTATCACCACTTCACAGCTCCAGGTACTTGGACGTCCTTATTGTGAAAGAAGAGGTTCTATTTAGAACAGAGGTTCCTCCAACTTGCTTCGTTACAAAAAGTTTGTATGTGATGAGCTTGAAGAGTTGAAGAACATTTGGAACTTTGCTTGAGTTGGAAATAAGGATTTTTCCAACTTCTTCCTTCTCTTGTAGAGGATGATGAAGTTTCAATCTCAGGGAGGCTTGTTGCGTTTTTGGCGTTTGAATATCTTGTTTTCAGAGTTGTAGCAAAAGTTAGCAAAGTTATCCGGTTGTTCTTCGTAGTGTATCTTTTATACTGAGGTTGTCTTCCCGTTGGAGGAGAAGGATGACAACTGCATTAAATGAGCGAGCAGTTGACTTGACCAGTAGGACCCGGTAAAGTTGGCGGGTTACTATTTTGGGATAAGGTAATCCTGACATTGCGGCCAATCATCTGCAATTACTCTACAGAGTACGGGAGTCATTAAATGTGCATTTAATGCGCGTACTGTAGCTTTTCCGTTCAAGACTCCTAGCCGTTGAAGGAATCTTTCAGTTGGTTTCCCGGCTTGGTGGAATTCTTCTAAGTGTCAGGCCTTCTGGTGTCTTTAACAGAGAGTTGATCAGAGAAGGTATGAAGCACTTCTGTTGAGAAGATATCCAACAGAGAACCAGGCGGGTTTCTGTCAGAGTAAAGGCTAACAGAGACCCTGAGGTCTTCTGTTCTTAAGCAGAGAACCAAAGGTCCTCTGTTCGACCCATGCCTTAACAAGGGTCTTCTGCTCTGGAGGCCTTCTGCTTTGTAGGTCTTCTGCTCTGGAGGCCTTCTGCTTTGTAGGTCTTCTGCTCTGGAGGCCTTCTGCTTTGTCGATTATACTAAGGGATATTACAAAGGAAAATTCTAATACATTAAGTCTAAAGAGGG